ATTTTTGGGGAGGATTTTCCACTGAATCAAAAAAATGCATTTCCTAATCAGTTCTACTTCTAACGTGTGTTTTTTCTGGAGTGAACATTAGACATACACCTCTACCACAGTCTGTAGGGAAAGGTGTTAAAAATTGTCCTTTCTGTGTGTCAGAAGAAGACAGTAAATCGATGTATTCTGCTGGGGAGCCCTCTGTGGGTGCAGAAAACCATCTCTCCGTGGTCGTTAAGGTACCTTTGGGTGTTAACAACTGGAATATGCTCCGATGCCTCCGATGTCCCGCTGGCATCACAGTGAGACTTCACAGCTGTTCTGCCAAAAATACATAATCCCGTGTTAAGGCACGGGACTAAGTGCTCTGTGAGAGACGGGTCCTGTCCTGGATCTGCTATCTCCCACAAGCCTTTTAATCATCCTTTCCCTTGTCTTCCCAGATAATGAGATCTACCTACCCTGCAGTGTTGCTGTGAGGCTTAATTTGGTAATCTTTATAAAGTGCCCGGGGATCTTTTGTGAAAGAGAAAAGAAAAATAAAAGAAAAAAAGAAAAATACATGATCCAGCCTGAATCTGGTCTCCTATGGCCAAGGAGTGACACAAGCAAGCCCGGGAGCAGCTGTCTCTCTTGGAGGTATCACTGCAGAGCACGGGAGCCATCCTTCATTTAGCCTCTTGGGTACCAGCAAGGGTGACACTGCAGTGACACATTTTCCCAGCCCGTGTGAAGGCCTGTGCTTTTGTGGTGGCTTTTCTGTTATGTACTAAATTAAAGTCTGCTTTGTTCCTCTTTCTCAAATGCTGTTAGTACATCTTTTCACCAGTATAATATTTCCCTTAGAGTCAACCATGGAGATGGTGGCCACCTAGATGGGAGGGCAAAGGAAGACCTCTGCCTCCACCCAGGACCTCTGAAAGGCCAGAGTACCCTGCTCACCCTAAAAAAAGAGAGGAATCACAGACAAAAGCATAGTTTTCTTCCCCCAAAGATGTCACCTGCTCTAAGAAAAGCTACACCCTCTCCCTGAACCCCTGCTCCTTCTTTATTACTGTTTTTATGCTACTAGCAAGAATGCTAAGCCAAAGAAATCTCTGGTTGTGGGGCAAGAACCCAGGAGCAGGTGCAAGATGCAGTTCACACTGTCCAGCTCAAGCAGAGGTTTCACTTTCCTTCATGACAAGAGAGGAGGATCTCCCACTACTTACGGCATCCATCCAGGCCCTGGTACCTGGCCAGGGGAGGACAACACAGGGCTGAGCCTGAGCTGCTCTCCCCTGCAAGCCAAGAGCTATTTAGACCTATTCCAAGCACCATCTGCTGAGTTAGGTTCCCTGCAAACACCAATAGCTGCATGTACAAGTGCATCAGGCTTTACCTAAATCTATATCTCTATTTTTTTCCACCTGAAACAGCAGATAAATTGATTGATGTATCGATGAATTGATTGACAAACAATAACTAGAACTACACAGACATTCAAATCCAGGCTCCTCCTACTTCTGATTTTTTTAAAAAAAAAAAACAACCAAACAAACAACTCCAAAACTCAAGCGATGTCCAGAAATCTGCCTCTCCTCCTCCTACGCTGCCAGCCTGAGGGAACGCAGCATTGCTCCTGACTTGTATGATGCTAGTGGAGATGCATGAACAATTAGAAGTGAATCTGTCTCCAAGTGCTAAGAGATATTACCATTATCAAGAATAATCAACACTGTAATAATGAACTGAGAATGAGGGATAATTAGATAAATATTTGCCAATATACCTGAGTATTCTTTCCACAGTGTGCTGCACTGGTGATGTGCCTAACAGTAAAAATATCATGATAAAATGAGCTTTCATGTCCATAAAATCATAAAATCACAGAATCACAGACTGGTTTGGGTAGGAAAAGATGTTAAAGACCATCTAGTTCCACCCCCCTGCCCCGGGCAGGGCCACCTTCCACCAGCCCAGGTTGCCCAAAGCCCCGTCCAACCTGGCCTTGAACCCTTCCAGGGAGGGGGCAGCCACAGCTTCTCTGGGCAGCCTGTGCCAGGGCCTCACCCCCCTCACAGGGGAGAATTTCTGCTTTAGATCTCATCTAAATCTCCCCTCTTTCAATTCAAAGCCATTACCCCTCATCCTATCCCGAAACCCCCTGACCATGAGACCCCCCCCCCTTTCCTGAGCCCCTTTCAGCCCTGGGAGGCCGCTCTAAGGTCTCCCCGGAGCCTTCTCTTCTCCAGCTGAACCCCCCAACTCTCCCAGCCTGTCCTCACAAGGGGGTGCTCCAATCCCCCGAGCATCTTCATGGCCTCCTCTGGAGGGTTATGGTACCTTTTACAATTACAGCATGTTGTGGATTTTCTTGCTTTTTTCCCCCAGATGACAAAAGGCCACCTTCACCCAAGATCTTCCATCCTGGACTGCACTCCTAGGTCAGTATGAAGCTGCACGCTGAGGGTGAAAGCCAAAGCCAGGCTGGGTTTTAGCCGATTTAAGGGATCATCAGCTCTGCTGCTCTCAAGTGATGCCAATGCATCGACAATATTAACAGTTGACACTTTTATTTACAGCACAAACCCAAAAGAGGAGAAGCAGAAGAGTGAGCAGGCTCTTCCCAATGGTAAAGTGAAGCTGGAAGCTTCATTTGTGCAGGAATCTCCTCGGCATAGTCTGAATTCCTGCTGCTGTGAGCGAAGATGGGGAAGGTTGCAAACATTTGCTTGGCTGGAGAGCAGCAGTGGAAGGGGCGCTCAGAGTGTTTTTTGTTTTTTTTTTTTTTTTTTTTGGATGGATTCATCATTAGGAAAGAAGAAAATGCCCATGGTGTGGCCTCAAATCCAGAGTGTGTTGTGTAGATCACAAGGAAACTACGTATAATCTAAAGGAGCTCTGGCAGCATCTGGAGATTAATGACTAACTATTATCACCAGTTTTGCTTAGCCAGCTTCTGATCCTAAACATCCCCAGTAGGCAGGAGCTGGGTCCTTCCCATGTGCAGTTGTCCCAACACCTCTCGGGACGCCTGAGGCCTTTGTGGTCCTGATGCCCACAGGAGTTTGGGAGGGAGCTGAGGACAGGAGATTTGGGGGGCAGGCTGCATGAGCATCTGCTGGGTCCCAGCCCCATGTCCTGAGCTCAGGGAATTAATCGGCAACAGATCCAGGTGAAGAGAGGAAGATTCCCAGAAATCTCCCAGCTGTGCCTTGCTGGAGGAGACTGTCCCCCTCAGATCACACGCTCACCCTGCACCAGAGGGTTGTTGGTTTTTTTTTTTTCCCTTGTTGAAAAAGACAAGATATTTTTATGCTTTTCTTTTTCAAGTTTTCCATTTTTAAAATCGTCAATATTTTGTGTTTTTTGACATGCAATCTAGTCCAAGGTCAAACCAACCTCCTGTGTTACTGCTTAGGCCTGCCAGCACTTGCCTGCATGTGAAACCCTACTTGTCCTTTGCTCCTGTGAGAGCATTTCACATGGATTTAGCACTTGGAAGCTTCAGTGCTTGGAGCACTGAGCATCAGTATGAAAAACTACATTTGGCTTTGTGATTTCACTTTTCTCTCTCTCTTTTTTTTTTTTTTTTTTTTTTTTTTTTTTTTTTTTTTTTTTTTTTTTTTTTTTTTTGTCTGCAGAATAGGTGGATTAATTCAAACCCGTGCAACTCCCTGATGTGTCAGTGCAGAGAGTGAAATGTTTTTTCAGCCCCAGAAGGAAACCAGTGATGACGCCTCCATCCTGACACTGCATCTGCCATCCAGGGGTGGAGGATTTGGGTCAGGTTTGGCCCTTTTTCATCATATCCAACCCCACCTCTGCAGTTCCCATAGCCCAGTGCCCGGTGCCTGAGGCTCGGAGGGGGAGCAGGGGCATCCCCTGTGGGTCCAGCCCTTCCCTTCCCGGCGGCGACGGGGCTGGCCGGGGCACTGACCCCAGCGCCGGGGAGTCTGGAGCGGAGCCGCCGGCCGCCGCTCCCCGCCATCAGCCCACACCTCATCAATAGGGGCTGACAGCCACGGCCTCGCCGCCCCGACGGCACCGCCGAGACTTGGGGATGCAAGCAGGCAGCCCCCCAAGTCGGGGTTACAAGCAGACCTGAGGGTCCGAAGTGCAGGCAGCCCCATCAGTCCAGGCTGTAGGGAGACCAGGGGTTTCGGGGTACAGGCAGCTGCAGCGGGAGGAGTGCAGGCAGGGCTGTGGGGCTGAGACCCCAGAGGGTCCAGGCAGCTGTGGATCTGGGGGGGTGCAGGCAGCACTGCTTGTCAGGGGGGGTGTGGGAGCCCCGCAGGCCTGGGGGCACAGCTGAGGCGGTACTGACAGCCACAGGGGTTGGGGCTCAACGGGGACACCCACAAATCGGGCATGTCCACAGGGAGGGATACACAGATACAGCCGCACGCAAAGATACGGCGAAGGATAAGGACATATAGTGACCGGGTACAGGCAGACAGACATGTGAGAGAGTCACAGACCCGTGGAGACATATGGATGGATGAACAAACAGGTATTTCAGCGAGTAGATAGGCACAAATAGGCAAAGAGACATAGAAACAACTAGAAAGTTGCGTAAGTATATGGATATATGCCCAGGTGAATAGACTGATATATGGAATGGATATCTGGATAAATGGATGAGTATATGGATAAAGGGATATATGGATAAATGGATATATGGATAAATGGATATATGGATATATGGATAATGGAGTGTATGTGGATAAATGGATAAATGGAAAAATGTGTCTATGGATAAATAGGTATATGCATATATGGATAAAGGGGTAGATGGATATATGGATACACAGATATACAGATCAATGGATAAATGGGTGGATGGATAAATGGATAGATGGGGGGTGATACTGACTGTGGTTCTGCACTGCCAGGGCTCCAGCCCAAACATTTCCAGGCAGCTCAGCCTCTGTCTGGTGCAGGAGGCTTGCCCATCCCCTCTGACGTGGGAAGGGGCTTCCCAGTGTTGCTACTGCCCAATGCGAGGGGCTGTGCCAGGGCCTGAGCCGCCAGCCGGTACCCAACAGCCAGGAAGGTGATGTCACAGCAGCACGGTGATGGTACTGCTGGTGTTGTCATTACGTCAAAGCACCGCAGTCAGGGCAATAAAACCACGTGTGTGGACAGAGGTGTGAGTGGGCCACAGTGTGATGTGCCCCCCTTCATCCCCCACGGGCTGACTCCCCCAGAGCTGATTCATCTCCACGCTGGTGGCCCCGGGGGGATTCCCCCCACCCACCGGTGACTTGTGTCTGCAGGTTCCCACATAGACATTCGTCACAGCATGGGGAAGACACCTCTGTGCTGGGATTTCACAGCTCCTGGCCCATTGAGAAGTCCCAGACTGGGAAATGCAGAGCCCTGATATTTTGGGCTCAATTGTCTCGATTTTGGCAGGAAAGCTGAAGAGGGATGTAGGACACTGACCCACACTGTATTTTCAGTGCCCTCCCTGGGACACTTCTGTCCCCTGCATCAGGCATCCACCACGCACAAGCGGTGGCACAGACACGCACTGGCATCATTCAAGGTGTGCTGCAGGCACTCGTGTCCCTG